GGACGAGGACAGGATTTGGACAGTGGTCGCTGTGGGATTCTATAGATGGGGGATGAGGACTGGATTTGGACAGTGGTCACCGTGGGATTCTATGGACAGGGACAAAGCATATAGACAGCGGTCACCTTGAGATTCTGCATTCAACGGACAAGGCAGGACCCGACAGTGGTCACCAAGGAGCATAGCACTGGTTGTCCGGCTGCCCACTGACATCAATGCATGATACTGCAGTAATAATAAGAATCACGTTCAACGTAAAATGCTGTCCCATTTGTTTATTCAGGCACAGTCCAGTAGCACCTGCCTGGGTGGATGTCTCTTCTTGACCCCTCCTGAATCCACTGGTATTCACCTGAACTCCACTCACCAGGAACGTGAACACCTTTCTTCACGATGCCCTGGCATAAGGTGAGTCATGGAGCAGGGTTTGGGGTTTCCTCTGTTCACTCTATAATGGATCAAATGGTAGTCCTCCAAAAGACATGTTCAAGCCCTAACCCTCCGAACCTGTAAATACTTATTTATTTGGAAAAGAATCTTTGCAGATGTAATTGAGAATTTTAAGAAGGTTCATTGTGGATCATCCCAGTGAACCCGATTCAATCCCGAGGGTTCTTATCAGAGACAAGCCGAGGGAGATGAGGGAGGTTTGAGTACAGAAGGCGAGATGTTCATTTGATGGACGCAGAGACGGGATCATGCACCCACAAGCCAAGCAACCCCTGGAGCCACAGGAGCTTCGAGAGGCAGGAAGGCTTCTCCCTTACCCTCCTCAGAGCGATCTCGGCCCTTCTGCACCTTGGCTTCAGACTTCTGGTGCCCAGAACGGAGAGAGAACAAACCTCTCTTGTTTTAAGTCTCCAACAAATTGGTAGTCACCGCTTACAGCAACCACAGGAAATGTATCCATCTTCTGATGCTCCTGAAAGACTCACACAGCCAGAGGGTACATCCTTGGCGTACAGGCTCACTCTTAGTCACCACCAAGGACTAAGAGAAATCCTTTCTCTGGTGTTAGAGATAAGTGTTGCGTTCTCAAATTTCAACCTGGAGAAATCAGTCATTTGTAATGCTTTCAAGGGAGCACTGTGTGTACCCTACGAGTCTGTACTCCTTATGTGTAAGGCTGATGACCACCGGTTGGCTTACTATCCATTCCCCTAAGTGACAAAATCCCACTGACTACTCAAATCCAACGTTAGCTCCTGGCACACCTGTACCTTGGAATCACAATCAGCTGCGATTCCGGGATGGAATTCAAACTAATGGCGGGAGCACATGCCTCTTACATGACTGGCTGATGGTTCTCAGATGGATAAGTTTGCCCTGTTAAGTAATTTAAATGAAAATAATAAATGTATTGTTTAGCCTCTTTAAAAGAAAAATCAATCATCCTCTGGGAATGCGTTTGTCACCACAGATGGTGATTTTCCTTTATAGATGACCAGGATGCCTGGATTTTTGCTGTTCCTTTACAGATAGCCAGGAATTCCATGTCATTGGCCCACTAGACAAGGGAACTTCCTTGGTACAAAAGGATGAGAAATGTGGACTTTCTTCCCTGAGATATTCACTTATCTAAGGGCATATCTTAGACATCACTTTAATTGCCAACATGGTGAAACCCTGTCACTACTAAAAATACAAAATTAGCCAGGTGTGGTGGCACATGCCTGTAATCCCAGCTACTCGAGAGTCTGAGGCAGGAAGATCGTTTCAACTTGGGAGGCGAAAGTTGCAGTTAGCCGAGATCGCACCATTGCACTCCAGCCTGGGAAACAAGATATCATCTAAGTGACACCACTTAGACGCTCAGTATGCTGTGTGTTGAGATCTGAGCTCTGCCCGAGAGCGCATTCTGTCTGCGTTGATTGTCCTGTGTGTTGAGGTCTGATCTCTGCTGTTTCCCGCAGAGCTGAGACCTCAACACACAGGACCGTGAACGCAGAGAGAATGAGTTCAAGCGCCTTCTGCAGAAAGACACAGACTGTGCAGGATGGCCGCCGAGATCTCAAGACCCTTTGCAGGAAAACCGTGATGATACAACCAGGCTAAGAGGCAGGGAAGCAGCATCAAAGAAGGAGAGGTCTGCCAGAGGTGACAGGAAGGACCCTGCCCTGGAGCCTCCAGAAAAAACTGAATATAATTATAGTGACGTGAACAGTGGCCTCCAGAAAGATCTGTCTGTACTCTAATACCACAGTATAGAGATCTGTCTGTATGCTAGTCCCAGAGCCTGGGAATGAGACCTTATTTGGAAATAAGGATTTCTTTCTTTCTTTCAGAAAGAAAGTTTTTTTTTTTTTTTTTTGGCAGTGGACCCCCAGGCCCAAAGTCTCTTTTCTCTATGTCTATTTCTTCTGTCTTATTTCTACAATTTCTCATCTCCACAGCAGCAGAGAGGGGCTGTCAGAATCCTGTAGCACTGGACCTTACAATGGAGCCTAGGTACACGTGTCTCTGAACGGGAATGCCTTCCTCCATTAAACCACGATCCAGGCGTGCGTTCATCCCAAAACCATTTCCCAGCAGTCAGGACTCCGGGCCAAATCTTTCCTTCTAAAAATACCTCCACCTCTGTACATCTGCACCTTATCCAACAGTGTTTTGCAGCTTCAAGCCCTTGCAAGACATGCCAGGTGCTTTTTTTTTTTTTTAATGGATTCTCACCCTTTCAGTCAGGCTGGAGCGCAGTGGCACGATCTCCGCTCACTACAACTTCCATCTCCCGGATTCAAGCAGTTCTCCTGCATCAGCCTCCCGAGGAGCTGGCATTACAGGCACCCTCAACCATGCGCGGCTATTTTTTTCCTGTGTGTGTGTGTGTTTAGTACAGACGGAGTTTCGCCACGTTGCCCAGGCTGGTCTCGAACTCCTAGCCTCAACAGATCACCCTGCCTGTGCCACCCAAAGTGCTGTGATGACGCGTGTGAGCCACTGAACCTGGCCACAGCTGCCCTTATCACCCTCAGAAAGGTCATTCCAGGTACAGGCTCGGGGTGGGGTGACAGGATGTCTCCTGACCACGCTGACAGTCTTTACCGCTGAGTCAACAGACCCTCTGGAAAATGACAGACTCCACATTCCCCGGGCTGAGCACATGAGCTCTGAGAGCAATTTCAATCTTGTATGAGTCTGGCTTCAGACTGCTCCTCTGTGTTTCACAGTGACCCTTATGTCACCCTTCCTCCGAGGGAAACAGAGAACACGTTTCTGGAGAAATTAGCACATGCTGTTTGACACCTGATGCTGCAACTTCCTGGAGCCTGGAGACACCTCCTAGCAGCCGGAGGAGCTGCGTGGACTGCTGGGTGAGCAGAGGAGAATCCACGGTGTGGCTGCAGCTCCCGGGTTTCACATCTTTCTCTTTTCCTTCCTTCTTTCTCTTTCTTGTCCTTCCTTCCTTCCTTCCTTCTTCCTTCCTTCCTTCTATTCTCTCTCCCTCCCTCCCTTCCTTCTTCCTACCTTCCTTCCTTCCTCTTTCCTTCTTTTTTCTTCCTCTCCTTCCCTCCCTCCCCCCTTCTTCCCCCTCCTTCCTTCCTTGTTTCCTTCCTTCTTTTCTTCCCTCTTTTCTTCCTTCTTTACTTCCTTCCTTTTCTTTCTTCCTTCTCCCTTCCTTTCTTCTTTTCTTCCTTCTTTCCTTCCTTCTTTTCTTTCTCTTTCTTTCTTTCTCTCTCTCTCTCCCTTCCTCCCTCTGTACCTCTCTCTCTTTCTTTCTTTTCTTTCTCATTCCCTCTATTTATGTCCCTATCTATATCTGTTTAGGGCTGGGTAGATAGATATAGGTAGATAAATACATATAGATAGGGAGATAAATAGATAGATAATAGCTAGATATATAAACAAATACATAGCACAGATAGATGGATAGACGGATGCCATAGGTGGATGGATGGATGCATGGATGCATGGATGGATGGATGGATGGATAGACAGATGATAGATAGATACACAGTTTGATTTCATCTTCCTGACAACCTCAGCTGGCGTCATGGACCATGAAAAAGCAAGATGAAAACAGGGAAAACCCTGGGATTCTTTTTCTAGGGATGTAATACATATATATACAAATAAAATGCCTCATGGACAAAACAAAAAAGAAGACGAAGAAGAATGTCTGGGGTTGTAGAAACCAAGACTGAATCATGCAGGTGGCACGTCCAGGCAGCAGCCTTCAGAGAAATATATTAGAAGCATTTCTTACCAGAATGAAGGTCTACGTGGATGTGAGTGGAGGCTGGCTCTTCCTGAATTCCAGAAAGGAATGTCTGACCCACGCTTCCATCATGGCCAGAACTATTGTTACAACTTAACTTCAGAATGCCATTGGCCAAGGTGGGGGTCCATTCCGATGGCTGAGGGCTTATACGTTTATTTTTGGTTTGCACTGGAGTTTGGTACCAAAGTCCAGTTTGGTACCATATAGCCTGGCTGTGTGGAAGGCTGTGTCACCTGGGTTTGCGTAACTGTGCTCTACATTTTTTTGCACAGTGATGGAATCCCCTGACCACACATTTCCCAGCATGTATCCACATCGTTAAGCAACACATGAGTGTATTTTCATATGCAGTGTTCTAATACTTGGTACCTCGGACAGGACTTTTGAGACCTGCTCCACAGAAACATGTCTTGACCTCCAGAAATTACATTACTCATGGAGATGAACCCTCCAGGCAGCAAACCACTGCCATAGATGATAGGTAGATTAGATATAGATAGCCAGATAGATAGATGATAGATAGATAGATAGATAGATAGATAGATAGATAGATAGATAGAGAAATGGATGGATGGATGTTAGATAGATACATAGATATAGATAGTGAGATAGACAAATAGATGATAGCTAGCTAGATAAATAAGTAGAGAGATGGATAGGCAGATGACATGGGTAGATGGATGAATGGATG